GGTTGGGGGTGGGGGGGGGGCTCTGAAGTTTTATTCTTGGTTTGCGTGCCCGCCCGCGGGGCGTCTTCGGTTTGGTTGTATCTGAGTTCCTAGGATCTGGACCGGGGTGCTGAGTCTTGCGAGCGGGCATCCCAGGCCCGAGGGAACGACGTCAGACCCATTTTACTGACGGGAAAACCGAGGTTTGCTCCCATTCGGGGTCAAAGAGCCCCTTGTGGAACCCGGACTGTGCCTTTCCCTACCTGAGTCTCCGTTTTCTCATCTGTCAAATAGAATTTCGACAGAACTAAGGCCGGATTGGGCTTTCAGATTCAGTAGTCTGTGTCCATTTTGGTCAAACCTGCCTCCCACAGCCAGGGGCTCTTCAGCTTTTGAGAACCATAGACCCTACAGAGTCAGAGTAGTAATAACTGTAAATGAAAACAATACACCCTTGCAAGGCTCCCCGGGGCGTCCCCACTTCCAGGCCTGGGAGGAGGCCACCACCTCTCTGGCCACCTGGCTATAACGACACCAGTCCCTCGCTGTTCCGGAACCGGCCAAGCTCATCCCCTCCGCCCGGGTCTTGCCCTTGCTGTGCCCTCTGCCTGGAACACTCCTCCCACCCCGGTTCGGAGCCCCTGAATGAATCATTACAGTTCAATGCTGCTTGCAGCCCAACGTGTCCAGGTGGCGGTCAGGGGCATAGGGCGCTCTTGATAAAGCCACAAGCCCCTTCTGCTACCCACAGACTGGGCTGGCCCTCACGCTGACCCCTTCTGGGCCAGAAAGTCCCCCACGTGCTGCAGGTCTGGGGAGAGGGTTGTGGATTGTGACCCAAGGCAAGTTCTTGCTACTCTCTGGGCCTCAGTTTCCCCATCAGGAGAATAAAAGGGATAGCTTGTGCCTGCATCCTCAGCCTCCCTCCACAGTGACGTGGGTCTCTGGAGCAAGGGTCCCCCTCAGTAGCTCCAATCCCACTCTGGCCCCCTAAACCCCAAGCCCTTCCCTATGGCTCAACCCTGACCCCATGGGTCTGAGGGTGTCTGCGGCTGGTTCTGGGTCTCTCCACCCCAGCCTGGTGATTTCTTGAATGGCGGGTTGGAGTTGAAGCTTCTCAGGGCCGGGGTCCCCAGTCTTGCTCAGCGTGGGCTGGCCCACCCCCCACCCAAATTCAGGATCTAAACCATAGAGCCAGTGTTTCTAGAGTGGACCTTCAGTTTCACTCAGGAGAGGGAGCTCAGCTATTGAGCACTGACAGTGTACCAGGCTTTGTGCCAGGCACTGGGACTCTGGTGACTGTGACCAGTCTAGTCCCCAGCCTGCAAGGCAAGATGAGCCATCAGAAGCAGCCCCACCTCCTGCTCTTTCTTTTAGTTTTGTTAATTGACATATAATTGATTATACATATTTGTGGGGTACAGAGTTGACTATCAATACCAAATAGGGCGCTTTCCAGCCATACTCATATTTGGACTGTCTGGTCCTCACGCCTGAGTGGTTAAACCCATTGTACAGATGAGGAAACTGAGGTTCAGAGAGCTCCTCCCTGGGCCCAGTCCACCCTGGGGCTCACACCTGCTAGGAGGCTCTCCCAGCACCCACAAGCCGCCATTGTCTCCCCTGGGGAGGCCCGTCTTGGGGCTGAGTCACTGGGCGGAGCAGCCCGTGGGGGCCCCCACTCAGTCGCCACCTCTGCCCAGCCCTCAGGCCGGGGCACTCCCTACAGGGCCCTGGCACGGGGACAGGCAGTCAGAGGCTGGTGCCAGGACCCCTCAGGGGCGACCCACAGCCCGCCCACCTCCACCCGCCTGACTGTGGCCTTTGTTCTCCTCTGGGTGCCTGCCGGGCCAGGCGGCAGGAGCCAGTGAGGGCCTCCCCACATGCCACCTGGGCCTTCCCTTCTAGCCACACCTACTGTGCGCGGCCCGGGCACATAAACCCATGTCTGGTGGAGTAAGTAAGGCCAAGGATAAATTCCCACTCAGGAGACAGAACATGGGGA